AGCTGAACTTTTCCTTCCGTTCTGGAGCAGAGCTCAGCAGAAGAGCACAGCGCAAGGAAAGGAGAAGTTTTCTGGTTTCAGAAGAAAAATGTTCTGTTGCCAACTGGTTTTACTAGAAACATGAAAAACATGCTAAAAGTAAAATAAAGAAATAATAACACACTTGTTACCCAGGGAAAAACAACTCAGCACTGGAGACAGGCTTCTAATGTTTGCACTCTTCTGCTACTTGTGACCAAAGTCCTGTTGCTGCCCTAACTAGAGGAGTGACAACATGGAGTACATGGGGGCTGGTCCATCTGCTCCCCCTTTCTTAACTCATGTTGCCTTCTTCCTCTTCAAGGCTTCATGTCTTCTGAGGAAGGTGTCCAGACCTTGTCAGAGCAGATCAGTGGTGGGAGGAATCACAAGATGGAAAAACCATGGTGTTACATAGTCAACGAGTGAACCTAGAGCTCAGAGCTTTTAACAGCAGGAAAATTTGCACAAAATACCAAGCTAATTGAAAATGAATGAGGATTATTTTGGGGTGGGGGGTGGGGAAGGAGAGTGCCATGTTACATGTTTTGGGCCTAGATTTGCTGGGGTAAGGATGGGGAAGCTGAGAAATTTTCAGTTCCCTTCCCACCCAGTACTGACCTTGCACCATATGCTACTGCCCTGTGTGAGCATGGCTGCAGCTCTCCATTCCCCTCAACTCCTTTGTTCTGCACCACCCCTGGAACTGCTGATGCCAGCAGCTTCTGCAGCATGGGGTCTCCAGGACTGGCTGCCATGGGTCCCACAGGGACAGACTGGATCCAGCCTTTGCCTCCCTGGAGCACAGCCTGACAGCCAGCACAGCCCTCCCTGCATGGCTGTCACTGTGCTTGTGAAGCCCTCACAATATAGGCAGGAGATTTTTTTTTTCTCTGATCTTTCCCACCTCACACCCTGCAATTCAGAGCTGTAAAGATAAAAATGTGGCTCTACACAGCACTTAGGCCACAAACAGCAAAGTGACCCTGCTGACTCAAAAAGAGGTGATTCATGGCAGCAGAGACGAGCCTTGTGGGCAAAGTCAGGGCCAAGCAGGAGGGTGTGTGTGACTTGAGGTCAGCTGCTTCCCCATGCTTTCGTTGCTGCACCCACTGATATAAAAAAGCCAGTAATTCTTACTAATTTGGTTTGCTAAAGCCAGGAGGCATTCCTCCTCCTTGCCAAGTCCCTGGGGGACGAAGGGATGCTGGCTGGAGGCACAGACAGAGAGGACAGAACTGACAGCAGCACTGCAGTACAGGCAAGATGCAAACAATTAACAGGGACAAGGCAAATCAGGCTGCTGAGTGACAGTGTACTGTAGGGAATGCACTGCAGCTGAAGGCAGGAATTGCATCCACATTGCACAACAGGTCAGCATTAGTGATCACACAGATTGGCTTACATCCCCCAGAGTAAATTGGTGTCAGCCTGTTGTATTCAGAGAGGTCCCTTAATCATTATCCAAATGCCTCATATTTCCCTCTATTTTATCATGCCTCTGGTCCCCAAACTGTAAAAAATGCCAGCATTTCCTTCAACATCTGTTCTTGTTTTCCATGAGAAAACCAGTGGGTGACAGTTCAGAGACTCATTCCCTCTATTTCTGAGCACTGAGCTCCAGTCTGATAGCAAAAATGGCATTCCTGGGACAGCAATCTCCCCTCTGTTGTCCCTTTACCATGCTGTAACAAAAAAAAAAAAAAAAAGAAGAAATACTCAAGCACAAGAAGGATGTACAACCAGTATTTGCTGAACTGCAAAAGCCATAGGATATCCATTGCCAGCACAATCCTGGTTCCTTGCAGCCTGGAATGTCTTAACAAGAACACACATTGGAGAGTATCCCTTGCTAGTGTTACTGACTGGCACATTGCACCAACTACTCCTGGATTTACAGGCTAAATAATTTCATGTTCTCACTCCTTCAGATCCTCTCTTCCTGCCCTGGGTCCTTCAGGTTGCTCAGAAACAACTTGCTCTATAGAATGGGTAGACAAACACTTGGCTGGGGTTTTTTGCTCCCGCAGGCAGGTCTGCCAAAGACCAAAAGGTTATGCAGCTCCTCTGGGTTAAAGCAAGCAGTGAGAGCAGAACAGAGGGACAACAGGAGGAAGAGTTTCCCTCTGCTGAGTTCACTATTCAGTACCTACAGCCCTGCATGGCTGCTGATGTGGAAAAGCTGGTACTAAATTCCTTCTGTTTCATACTGAGATTCCATTGCAGTCACAAGGTTCTCATACTCAGGGCTTTTCCTGTCTTTCACGGTGGTCTTTTCAGTGCTGGAGCACGTTTCCTCCTGCAGGCACTTAGCAGGGACTTCCACCTCAGGGTGCAGCAGGGCGACATCTGCAGTTCTGCGGCTGGGACAGAGAGACACGAGTGAGAGGGATGACTAAAGCAGATAGCACTTCATTTACATCTTAGAGACAAGATCTACCACATAATCTGTGACCAGCAAAATTCATACTATCCTAGTGAGGGCCTGGGGGGCTCTGAAAGACACTAGAACGTGATGTTAAAAGAATTACACAAAAAGAAGCACTGGTTAATACTGGTACTGTAAACTCTGATGGCATTATCATGTTATACTCTAAACTTACCAGCAGACAGTCCAGCCTTTGGAAAATAAATACCAGGAATAATTGGGAAAAATTGCTACAGATGGCTATGGTGTGTCTCTGAGTAGGAAAGCAATATGAAGGTGCTAAAGATTGAGATGAGGACAGGGCAGAAGATGAGTTTATATAATCATATGCTAATAGGAACTCTGCAAATTAATACTTGGCCAAGCACTAAGACATGTTTCTTATAGAGAAAGGCAAGTGTAGAGGGAACTTAAAGGAAGAGCTGAAAATTTCTGTCCTTTGCTTTGCTAAATAATGGCAAGAATTTCCCACAGAGAACAGGTTTCCCATGGCATATGACAGACACGGCATAGCACCCATAGTATCTTTCTGTTTTTCTACCATAGTAAAGAACAGTCTGGCTATCTCCTGTGACCACATGTTAAGTCCTCATGTTGCTAACTAAATTGCCAAGGTGTTCAGCTCCTGCCCATGTAAGGAAAATAAATCTTTGCTTTTCACTGAGCAAAGAGGCTTTTTAGCAGCAGATACCAGTACAGTGCCCTCAGTCTCAATGCCCCAAGGAGAAAATTGCACTCACAAAGCAACTTCATAGAGAGGTTCTGGGGAAAAAAAAAAAAAGAAAAAAAGAAAAATAAAAGAATGTAAGATAAGCGTCACAGAACAAAACCCAACTTCCAGGTGCTCCCACATTTAGGGAATAACCCTCCCACAGGCTTCTCTCTGGAAGGGATCAGCCGGGGATGGGAGCGATGGGGATGGGAGGGATGGGGATGGGAGCGTCCCTCCCGCCCGTCACCTCCGACCGGGCCCTTCACCGCCCACCCGTCCCCTCCTCCCGGGGCAGTCCCCGGCGCCCGGCCCGGCCGGGTTTGTCGCTGCTCACCGTCCTTCCTCCGCCGCCGCCAGCAGCCCAGCGCCGCCGCCAGCAGCGCGCCCAGCGCGGCGCCGCCCAGCGCGGCCGGCAGCCCGTAGAGCAGCGGGGAACCTGCGGGGGACAGCGCTGTCACCGCGGCCGGGGGACAGTCCGGAGCCACCAGTCCCCCGCTGCTTTGGACGGCCTTTAAATTCTAACCGAGAAGCGGCCGAGGCCACTTGGGGGTGCAGCCACTCGCCGGCAGTCACAGAGTGCCGGGATGGTTTAGTTGGGAAGGGATCTTAAAGGGATCATCTCGTTCCACGCCCTGCCGTGGGCAGGGACACCTTCCACCAACCAGCTTGCTCCAAGCGCCGTCTAACCTGGCCTTGGATACTTCCAGGGATGGGGCATCCCTGCGTGAAAACAAGCAGCAAACTTCAGGCTGCAAACACCCCCACTGCCAGCCGTGTGGGCAGGAGTCAGGAGAGCAGCTCCTGCCTGGATAACACCCCGTATTTGGCGTGCCAGGGTTTGTTCCCTGCAGCCCTATCTGCCACAAGCACAGCAGCCAGATGTGGAGCTGGTCTGGGATGATGTTTGCCACCCTCCCTTGCCAGTGCAAACCTGGTGTTTTCCAGCATGAGACTCCACTCACCTGTGCCTGTGAAAGGCCCCACTGGAGCAGTATCCATCCTGGAGACCCGTGTCGTTGGGACTGGATCTGTATCCATCCTGGACACTCGTGTCGTTGGGACTGGATCTGTCAGTGGAGAATGGTGGATGCACTGCAGCCCCACTGGGCATCAGGAAAATGGGGTCTGCTCTGCCAGCCTAGATCACCTAGATCTGCCACCTAGATCCACCTAGATCACCTGTTATCCTGTGTGTGTCTTGCCAGCAGGCCTGGGGCAGCATTTAGCACTCATGTCCCCCTCCCTGTCCTTTGCCCACAGGTTCCTGGCAGCCCTGGCTGTATAAGGCATCATGCCTGGCTACAGCATGGCCTGGGAATGCTTTGGCTTTGCCCTGCTGGCATTTCCCTAGATTTCCAGAGGACATCTTCACTCGGTCTCTCCCATGGTGACTCCCTGGCTTTGCCGTCACCTTCACCATAAACTTCCTGAGGTGTGCCAGGTCTCTTGCCCCAGGCGACCTCCTTCTGAAGCTCTGCAGCCTCTCAACAGTTCTGGTCCCAGAGGGAAACAGAAAACATTTTCTTGTCCCCTCCCATGATCAGGCACATTCCAAAGTAAGGGTGCCAGCCTTTGGTGTTGCCTCTCTGGGTAAGAATCAAGACACCATTCATACTCAGCCTAGGTGTCTGGTCTGGCTGTGGAAGAGCAAACTCCCTGTCTTGGTTTTCTCCTGCCACAAAGGTGAATGACCCTGGCCTGGGCACTCACCTGTCACTGTGTGCTCCATGTCACTACTGGCTTCCTGACCTGTGGTTGAGTGGTGTCCCCGAGCATCTCCTCCCTGCACAGGCTGAGCTCCGGTAACCTGTGTGTTAATCCAGGTTTCACCAGCTGTGCCACCATTGCCACTGCCCTTTCACAAACTCCTGCTCTCTGGGGTGCGTGGCCCCCTTGCAGAAAGAGTTTTTTCTAGCACACATTGAGGATGCTTAGGAAGGGGAGAAGGCAGACTTGGCTCACACTGCATCCACCTGCTACAAGAACCACAGAGATATTGGCTGCCTGCACAGAACCAGACCTGGATGTTATCTCAAACATCATGGGTTCAACTGGCCCACCAACAGATCCAGCTTGGGCTGTACTCTAACTGGCTCCCTTCCCCAGTTCATTCCTTCACCTCCATGTGTTGAGAAGGTTAACCAACACAGCAAGGGAAGAAGATGCTTCAACCCCCAACCTAGTGTGGTGTGAAAGACTATTCACACCAATGCTGGTCCCCTCTCCCTTCTTTTGGTTTAACCTGGCTGCACAAGAGCTGGACTTTACTGCTGGATTTACCTTTGACAACTTTAACTATAGTGGTCACTTCTCTTGTTGTCAAGCTGTTATCTCTAGACCTCCAGATGATTTGACAAGTGTAGTGTCCACTGTCAGGTATTTCAAGGTTCTGAATGTGGAGTGAGGCATCCCCTGGGCTGTGCTTTGGGACGCTGACTCGGCCTCGGAATTTGGACAGCAAGATGTGGTCACCAGAGTCGTCCCTCCGGAAGATGGTGGAGGTGCTGGAGTCCCGCTCCAGGCTCCAGCTGAGCGTTTGCTGTGTGAAATCTTCTGAAGGCACATAGGTACACGGTACAGTGGTGGATCCCATCCATGTGCCCGTGACCTGGTGGACACTGGACAGATCCAGGAAGGCTGCGGGGAACAGCAGTGGAAGGGAAGAAATCAGAATGCAGCAGAGGAGGAAAACATTCTCCGGAGAGACGGGACTCACACCTCAGGGCAGTAGGTGCCAGCATGTGGCCAGGTCTCAGATGTGCACCACAGCACTAAGGCAGCCCACGTCATCAAGCATGGGGAAGTGAACATCTGCCTTGACCTCATGGCTATTTTTATTGTTTCTCTCTGGGAACTTGCCAATTCTTAATTCTTTCTCGGCACAGACAGTCTCCTTGTGGGCAAGAACATTTAGGGGTATTCCCTGCAGTACTGAACCTGGAATAGGAATGGTGGACCAAAGCCTATCCTTTTACTTTGGCCTTGGAAAACCTCAGACCTGACACAGATCAGCACCCTGCCAAGCATTCAGGTAGGCACAGGAGAAGAGTGGACAGATTTTCTCCACACATTTTCCCAATTTCTCCAGCTGCCTGCCCATGGATCCCACATGCTCCTCTGGAACGTGCCTCTTGTAAGTAGCAAATCACCTGAATTTCATTTGACTTGGCTCATCTCCCCCCATACCATTTTATTCTTCTCCCTTTCCCCTCCCTGGAAAGACATTGGTTACATTCAGTAGCTTTAGCTCACAAGAAGTTGGTTGAGAGGCAGATCCCAGTAATCTGCAAAGCTGGGGGTTTTTATGAAGAAATGGGGAATGTATTTCAACCCAATTTTCTAAATGTCAGGAGCGATCCTGTGCTTTTATATACAATGTGTAAGAGCACTTTTCTCCTATTTCCAAAACTATCCTCTGCTGCTGCCAGTGTCATACATGCCCTGAGGAAAGGCTATATTCAGTCAGAGAAATAGGAACTGAAGCCAAGGTCCCAGTCCCAGCTTTCCTGATGCAACCAGAGAGTCACCAGGTAGGAGAGACCAAGGGGAATCAAATGTGCCAGCCCCTGGTCTCACAGCTCTTCTTCTTCCCAGGGCCATGCTAACAGAACAATGAGGATGAGTTATTAAATTTAGAATGTATGTTCCAGCTTCACCAAGATTGTTTTGAGAGCTGGACACTGCCAAGGGTCCCAAAAAACTGTATTCTGCTCTTGCCTTGGGGCAGGGAAGCTGACTTGCCCAATACTGCCCCATTTGCTGCACTTTTGAAAGCCCCTCGTTGTATCTGATGCCAAAGGAAACTTTCATGAATTCTCAGGCTCTGTGGTTAATGCAATAAGCTAAATACTTTCTAGATGACTTGTCAATTAAAAAAACCCCAAAAAGATGCTATAATTTGAAAGAATTTTGCTATCTTCTTAGTACTCTGATTTTTTTTCTTATGCATTGAAGCATTTACTCACCATTGCAGCTGATGAAAGTCATCACAAACAGCACTATCCGCCCAACTTCTCCCATTCTCCCAGAAGTGCAGGTCTGTCCTCCTTTCCCCAAGAGACTCCCACCCTCCTGGGACCAGACTGCAAGTGAAGAACACTTCCCTTTATTCTGTCCTTTGTCATCTAGGATCCTCTTTCTGAAACATCACGAGTCCATTTCACTGCTGAGTTAGGTGAAGGGTGAAGGAAGGGGAGAGGCTGTATGGATCTTTCCAGTCCCATTCCCTGTCCCCACCCACTTCTCTTGATGCATCCAGGACCCAGCTGCCTTTCTGAGCTGGAAGTGCCCTTTGCCAGGTCATGTTGAGCATCACAGACTCTCTCAGGTCACATTTCTGGTGCAATAGTCCAGTTCACGGGCAAAAGTCATGCTCTGAAAGCGCACGGAGCATGTCAAGGAGGTGTTCGTGTTTGTCAAGGAGGTGACTCTGACTGGCAGCCAAGGGACATTCTGAGTGTACTCTGTGGGGTATCTTTAAAAGTACTCCCAAGAATTATCTAGGTGTGATACACAGGATTGATCTGTGCTTACTAATTCTTACCAGAAGGAGAAGGACTTAGAGAAAGATAAGAAACATGTATAAAAGCAAATCTACTGACCTAGTGAATTCTGTTACAGGGGTTTAATAGTCACTAGAGGAGATTTTTGAGTATTATTCAATAGCCATGCTTTAGCACATGGTTCTAACAGCTGCACCAGGGAAACAGTATCTTTGAGCAGGAGGCAGATGTGTCTGAGGCACAGGGAGCTGTTTTCTGCTGGAGCTGGGAGAGAAAGGTAAATGGGATGGTTTTGCCACAGCCTCGTCCCATCACAACCAATACCTGTCTGCTGGGGCTGAAACATTCACTTGCAGCTGAACCCATCTCTGGAAGTGTTGCTCCATGTCAGTGACAGCTTATTCCCTCTCTGCTAGGGTAATGAGAGCTGGAGATTACCTTCATTTTCCCAGAGTCAGTAAGCTAATGAGAGCTGGGTGGATCTCATTTCAGTCCCAGGTAGAGGCATGCCCACCCGTGGGGCCCTTGCTGACTGTGATTCCCAGTTCCACCCTGCTGATCCCTGTGGTGGAATTTGTCTGGAGCAAAAAGCTAAACGTTGTGCTGCTAGATGTGGTGTAACAAATTCATCCAGGGCTCTGAGAGCCACCTCCAGCTGCCATCCTGCTGAGGAAGAGGATGGGGGAGCCACACCCCTTCTTGCAATGCATGTCTATGTCAGACATTGAAACTTCATTTTTGCCGACTTTTCATCTGGACATCTTTGCTGCAGCTGCCAGTGGGGTACCAGTGCATGTGGCCTGGATCCATCTGCCCATGCTGCCCCTGAGAAGATTTTAGCAATGTTTGAGTCCTCCCTAGAAGCAAACAAGCAAAAAACTACTTGTTAAAGTTGCTAGCTGTGTCACTCAAAGAGGGAAATGTGTGAACTTTCATAGAGATTATTAAAACCCAACCCTTTCCACACCCTGATCCATGACTGGCAGTAGAGCCTTGTCCCAAACAAACAATCTCCTACACAAAACAGTTTAAGAGAAGCTGAGTTTTGGGGAACACGCCCTGAAAGAAGTTGAGAACCCAAGCTAAAACTGCTGATAGGATTATTTTTTGGACCGGACATGCAAGACTTCCTGAGGCTCTAATTATGCAGGATTAAAAAAAAAAAAGGCTATTTAAGTAAAGCAGACATGAATAACTGTAGTTCCCCAAATGCGATGGACATGACATCTTTCTCTCCCTGGACACAGACATGGCTCCCTGACTCACACAGTCAGCCCATTTCTTCCTTACTGAAAGGACTCCTCACAGTTTTGTATCTGAACACGAGAAGAAAAAGCCTTCAGTGTCTCAGACATGTTGGCTAGATACCTGGCTTGTTAAAATGCAGTATTTTATTCCAGTGTCTCTGCTCTGGGTTGAAGTTGCTGCTCTCTCAGCAGTGCTGCAGGTGAGGCACTCTGCAGCCTGTGCCCCCAGGTACCCACCTTCCTCCCACACACAGGACAGGATGCTGTCTCAAGTGACATTTCTTCAAGTACCACAGCTCAGGCGCTCTTTGTTCTGCCATTTCTGCTACTCATCTTTTGGGCTAACTACAGGTGACACAGTAAAGTCCCCATGTCCCCAAACTTGAGCACAGATGGTCACTCAGACCCTGTTCATAGGGACCAGCTCTGCCAAGCCCACCTCTTATATTCATCTTCTGACAAAGTTTACCAGTGGCCAGAGAAGTTTGCTACCATTTTTTTTGGTGATAAATAAGATCCTTAGCATTCAAGGAGGTGAAATTCAGTACCCTACAATGAGCAAATGACCAAAAAGTAGATAACCTAAGAAGAAAGGTCTTAAAGTACTCCTTTTCAACCACGTGCATTCAAAAAACAAGCAATTTTTACTTGAGACTTTCTTGTTTGGTCCAGCCATAGCTAGCTCATGGATCTGACTCAGCAGGGTGTATTTTACTAAGTACTTTTTGGATGTCTCTCAGAAACTGGTAGTGTGGTCTATCCCAGCCATTCACACCACAGTTCTGTCACATCAGATAATCATACAGCCAGTCATCAAAACATAACCTTGTTCCACTTCAAGAAACAGAAATTAGTGTAAACTAGCATTTCCCCTTAAAGTTTGTGTGGCAGAAGAAACATGATGTACAAGTGCTCTCTCTGAAAAATTCACTTCCCTTCCCAGGAATTCCCAGGTCAATGACATTAGCTCTGGGTTGCTATTGGCTTGGCCAAATCCTTGTAAACAGCTCCTGATTCCAAGAAAGTGACCCATGTGTACGATGTCTTCCGAGTTCTGGTTTCTTTCCTGGTGCTGCAGGTGGGCTGCCACCCCCAGCCATCAGAGCAGTGCAGATGTCCCTTACCTGCAGCCACCACGCAGCACTGCTGCTGCTGCTCTCTGGAGTCTCAGCACCATCTGATGCTGGCTTTCTTCAGGCTGCCCAGCTCCTCCTCCCAGTGCTCTGCAGAGCCTGGCTGAGCTCTGGGTTTGGTCAACAAATCTGCTCTGGGCTGATCTGCTGTGATTTCAGCTCATCCTCTGCCACTGCACAGGGTGCACAGCAGCTGCTCCTCTGCCCAGGTACACCCCAGAGCAAGTCAGGACCTGGACCTTGTCCAGCTGTCCCCCAGTGCATGCAGACACAAAACACATGGAGGCCACAATTCATGGATTTATTTTCAGTTGAATGAGCTTGCCTTACAACAGCTGTATTTAATATCATCAGCTCCTGGTGCTGGCTGTCCAGCCAGGATAACACTGCTGTTTAACCACATTGGGAGGGCTGCATGGCCTGTGGCTTTGCAGTGCAGCTGGAATTGAGTGATCCTGGGGCAAGCTGTGGGATTCCTTGCAGCCATTTCCATGGGGTTTCAGCAGTGAGAGCTCAGACCCAGTGTGACTGACCACCCTGTCCCTCAGTGGGACACCCTTCATCTCTGCCTTCCCTCAGTGCTCCCTGCTCCTCTGGCTGGAGCTCTGGCCACATCAAACCCTTCAGATGAAGAGCCCTGCAGCTCATTCCAGGTGGCCACATCCCCCCCTTCAGTGGCCACAGCAGTCAGGCTGAGCTCAGATGGATGGGCTGTGCTCCAGCACCTGCAATATTTCCTTCCCACCCCCTCTGGCCTCACACATGCAGAACACACACTCACACCTATTTTCTCCACATCTGCAATAAGCTGCTTGTACATGTTGGCAGTTTTCTCCATGACAGCACCAGTAGCTGCCATGTATTCCCTTTTCATTCAGAAATCAAGATGTCCCAGCCCTTGGTTTTTAAGAACATTCTTAACAAAGAGAAATAAAACTTGTAGCACAGGAGAAAGTATAAGGTCACTGATAAGTGCCTGGAAAGTGTGCCTGGTAGTTTGTGCATTCTGATTAACTTTTCAATTATTAATTCCTCTAATTTCCCATTAGACCTCTGGCTCTCAGCCCTGGGTGAGCAGCACTGTGTTCTACATTTATTCCTGTGTTACATACAAAGAAGTACTTTTCCTTGCCCTTTGAAAGTGCTACCAGATAATGATCGCTAATTTCTGCATCCTTTTCAGAGAAGCTGTAAACAAGCTGTAACCCCTTCACCGTCTCAGCCCTGACCCCCTCAGGCACACTTTGCTCATTTGTTTCTTCTTCTCTTTTTTCTGAGACTGTTTGCACAGATGTGTTTTTGTACCAACAATTACTCTTTACAATCATTCTCAGTAACTTTCCTTGCTCTGCTAAACCCAAGATGAGGCCAACATGCACACATAAGGTAGTGACATTCTATGGGCTTCACAGTAGCACAGTCCTGGCTTTTGACTGGAATACCTTTCCATTAGCACCTCACACTCCCTTTGAATTCTGGTGAGTTTTGAACTGATGCTCAGAGGCCTGCAGATGCACAGCTGGTCCTGTTAATCCTGTGCCTGTGTAACCAATGTTTTGCTCATCCCTTGGGTCACTCCCTCTGTTTTACATCTGCCTGCATGGCCTTTAATGGGACACAGACGACTGCCCTGTTCATTATAAAAAGGTTCCTCCATAACTCTGCATAATAGATTTACTCAGAGCAGTAGAAATTATTCATAATTTACCCCTTCAGGGCTTCTACGCTGGGAGGAAAGTACGTCTTTAGTATCTAGTGAGGGGCTGCGAGTGGCTTGCTGGCATTCCAAAATGAGCCAGTTGTGCAGAAATGCACACAGTGAAATATGTGAGGCACGTGTAAGCAATCCTGCCCAAACTTATGGAAAAGTACCTAATTCCTTTCAAATATCCATCATGCATTTAAAGAGAGAGCAGAAAACACGAGCTCAGAAAGAAAGTGTCTGCTGGCAGTACCAGAAGCAGCCAGAGCTGTGGCCGTGTGCCCAGACCTCGCTGCAGGGCTGTGCAGGGGATCAAGGGCAGCACAAGGACAGCAGGGGACACTCCTGCTTCCTGCACTGCTGCTCCTGGTGCGGCAGTTCCTGAGCTCCTCTTGGCTTTAATCTGCCTTCCAGTGTTCCTATAAAATCTCTCTCCCATTAAATCTGTGCAGCATCAGGTGGGCAGGAGAAGAACCATCGATTCCCAAGCCAGCCACATCCTGCCCTGCTCACCCATGGGGAGGGGGATGCTGAGCAGCCCTCAGTGCTGGCTCTCCTCCCACCAAAGGCTGGAAACACTGGCTCTTTTGGCCAGATACAGCAGTAAGTTCAGTACAGTGCTCCTAGCCTGGGACCTGCCTGCTGCAGCATTCAAAGGGCTTTCTTGGATAGAGGTGATGAAAGGGAATCAAGAAAAACAAAATCAGAGATTCTATACAGCAGTCTGTAACTGAAGTTCTTGCATTTTCACTGCAGGGACTCTGAAGGGAGAGCAACCAGTGCTTGTGCAACCTATGTATCAGGGGAAAAAAGGGAGAATAAATATGTATTTTGTGTGGGTGAAGGTGCTCCTCAGGACTGGTATCTGCAGAGCATTGTTGGTTCTCAGGAAGTGTCCCCTACTTCATACTCAGATTCCTGGGGGTTTGCAACACAACCAGGCACATTCTTATTTACTTCTTCAGAGACTTTGTTTTCCCCAAGCTCCATCACATAGCTGTTTTCAGTGGCAGAGATGGGTTCCTCATAGTGACCTGTGCTTGAAGAAGCTGCTGCTTTCAAGTTGTGGCTGAAATCAAAAAGCAAAAAGAATAGCAACCAGAGTAAACAAAGCATCTCCAACCATCAGGATTTTGACATTATCATGGTCTGACTCAAGCCCATGTAAACTTGGGCCACTGGGCTATGGCAATATTCTGAAGGAGAGAATTTTGTCTTTTGCTTTCTCATGGCAGAAAAATCTTGGGTATTGTAGCAGCATTGCTTCCAACCCTGAGAAAGTTTCCAAGGAGAGGCAGCAAAGGGCGTGCAAGTAATAAAAGGATTACCACCATTTCTTGCACAATCTGATAATTGCTGAAGACAAATATTTATAAAACATATTGGAGGAAACAAATTGAGAACTGAAAACAGCCCACATCCACTGTCTGGCTTATGGTATCTAATATTTTTTACACGAAGAGAGATCCTCTGAAGAGAAATGTCATCACAGCATTTTTTCCATTGCTCAGGGTTCAAATGTTACTTAAACTGCTGCCTTACGCATTGCTGGGGAAGCCCAGCACTGGGATGCTGGCACATCCCACTAATCCTCAAGTCAGCAGCACTTTGTACCTAGAGAAGTGGTTCTTCTTGTATGTTTTGGCCAGATTGTTACTGAAAAGCCTGACACTTCCACAGGTTACAAGTAGATCAGGATGTGAAACCTGAGTGTAGAAATAGTTATAACTTCCTTCCTAGCTATGGTTAGAAGAAGCAAATTCAGCCAGGGATGTTTTCAGGATAAATAGAATATAACCAGTAGTTTTTAGAAGGGGAGTTCCTTTCCTTTACATTTGAAAAAGCACTGGGAATTCAGCCTTGGAAAAACAGAGAATTTAGCCTTGCCAATCATCTTCAGTAGCCCTCCCTGCGCTTAGGAGCCAATAAGCAGCTCTTGCTCACTTCTACAATTCTGATATTGCCACGAAAAAGATCTTTCTTCCCCCATTCTTTGTTGCTGTGGAAAGCCCACAAGCCATCCTACAATGTGCTGTTGAGCTAACTGTGAACCTCTTCACTCAGACTGCTTAAGGGGTTTTCATTATGACAGCTAACAACAGTGCTTTTTATTCTGCCCTGATACATCCCCCCAGGACTCATCAATGTGCCAGAAAAGGGTTATACTCACAGTTTTACATCATAGACTTGAGCTGGAAAAGAAAAATCAGAATTTGTGTCAATAATTTGCATTTACATTCCTTAAAAAAGAATTTCTTTTTCTTTATCTTCTTGGTTTAAGAAAATGACGTCTCAAGACAGAACAAAAATAACAGCCTTGGATATCATGTCAGGTAGGGGATGACTCAGTTTCCCAGGATTCAGTCCAAGAAAACAAAAACAACCCAGCTACTACACAACTGGGTTATTTTGACCCAATGTCAAAGATGAAGTTGAAGTTAGAAACTAGAAGTCCATAGTTTCCCCAGTTTCTCTAATCATTAGAAGTTCCATAAAGAACAGTTTTGAAAGTGGCTATTCTGGATTCCTTAAAAAAAAAAAAAGGGGGGAAGAAAAATGGCAAAAGAAATACCTGACAATTTTATTATTAATTGGTAGCATGGAGTCATAGGAAGATCATTAGCAAAACAAAGGAGAAAAAGTCTGTGGGATCTCAAACCCCAAAACACATCTGTGTGCTCCCTGCACGGCTGGTGGGGAGGGCCCCAAGGGTCAAGGGGATTTCTTGTGCAGTACAGGGGAGACAGAGCATTCAGTGAATGGATCCTGTGACTGAAGACCAGAGAGGAAACAAATTCACATGGAATAGGGAGAATTGACAGTGACCTCTTCCCTCTGGGTGCCAGCTACAGGAACTACTGAGCAGCAACTGCTGCCAAAGGCTCTTCCCAGCACCAGGACAGGATGAAACCTCTGCCAGAGGCTTTAAAGATTTGGAACAATGAGCCTGGCCAAGCAGGAGAGTCTGAGCCCTGGGATGTCTGTGAGCAGCAGTGAGAAACAACCGACCCAAGGCTCTGTGGCAGAGCAAGCCCCACACCTTGGGATGGGCTGGGCAGGGACTGAGCTGCCCCAGAGCCAGTGCAGGGATGGAGGGTGCAGCTCAGGAGCACCAGGGCCACTGCTGCTCCAACCCCACAGCTGGTGCCTGGAAGACCCTCCTGGCTGCAAGGACTTCTCTGCCTCTTGGGGTCTCCCACCACCTGTGGCATCTACTGCCTGCATGATGCCAGATGTGCCAGAGCTGCAGCTGGTGGCTGCAAGCTCTGCTCCAGACCCCAAACCCATCAAAGGTAAAGCCATGCTGTGCATGAGTAAAACATTCAGGTTTTCCAGAGCATTGTACTCACCATCTTTGGGCTTCCTCATGCACATGATAAGAGAGATGACAAGGAAAACCACAGCACCACACACCACAGCAATCAGGATGACCAGGTACAGGGACAAGCCAGTTCTCTGGGAATCTAAAGCAACACAACAGAGGAATTTCAGACAGCGGAGCCCTCCTGGGTGACAGCAGCAGGGACATGACATTTGCCATGTCCCCAAGGCCAGCAACAGCCAGCCCTGCCTGAGCACATGGGGCTGTGTCCTTAACCTTCTTCTGAGCTTGGTTTTGCTCTTACCACGAATTGTTTCATTCTTCCCTGGATATCCCACACCACTCTCAGAAGTTGTTGCTGTTATGGGCAGATCTGGAAAACAAACATGAGTTAAAGTCTGACAGTGCATTTCCACCCATCATTTTAGCACCAGGGGAGCTGGGATTCGAGCTGTAGGATCAGAAGAGAATGCCTGCAGCCCCTTTACAAGGCAGTGAAAACAGGCAAACTGCAGAAATGAGCACTATGTATACAGTGTACTGTAGAGAGAGTACCTGCAGCACCATATGGTCACTGGATGGATACTATATATAGTAAAAATACATTTTTATGTATAACCGAACTGCACAGACACATGCCAGGTACCTGTGTGCATTTGCATGTCTGTACACACACACCTGCAGTAGTGGTGGGGCCCCATGGAGTCCAGGAGGTTCCCGAGGTACCTCCAGGCACCAGCTCTGTCTGAGGTTTTTCTGCAAGAACAATCAACACCTATCAGCATCTTCCCTCAGCTTCCAGTGACTGACACCAGCTTCCACAATCCCCACGTGGTTGCTGGGGCACTATAAACCCAAATGAAACATAATCCAGCCATAGAAAGTTCCCACAAGCAAGTCTGCTCTAGTCCAGACAAAAATTCCTACATCCCACAAAATCAGACGTGAAACCACAAGCCCTCCCTCAAAACTGCTGTCCCTGGTCAAGTACATGTTTTCAGCTGGGTCTGAGGAAGCTTTTGCATCCCTTGTGTCTGCCACTGGAGACATCAGATCTGTCTCCCTTCAGCAGCTCTCATTCCAGATCAGAAAACATGCAACAAAATCCTTTAGAAAAGAACCAAACCCAGAACATCCTATCCCATATGATCTGCAGCTTAGGAAAAGCAGCGTCAGCCCCGGCCCCGCCGCTCTGATGATGGGCTTGGTGGCTGCCACTGCAACACAAAGCACAGGGACCCGGGTCACGGAGCCCTGGCTGTGGGACCGTCCCCCTGCCACAGCAGTTCTCACTCCTGCTGTCGGTGCTTTCCCGGAAAAAAGCAGCTCAGCTTTAGCATCTCCTCCCTGCACAGGATGAGCTCAGCTGTGCCACCCAGGTGTCCTGCAGTCTCTGTGCCTCTATAATCCCCCAACATGGGCAGAGGGAGGGCAAGCACATGCTGGTGAAATTTAGTCAAAGAACAGCAATACAGGATCCCTGGCATGCCAGTGGGAAACATTGAGCCACTGGCTACAGATAGAGCCAGGCCTGGACTGGTCCTGGAGGAGCCACAGTCCTCCCTGAGCTGCAGGGTGCTGTGTCCTGGGCAGAATTTCTCTCTGACCTATTTGCTGTTTCTTGCTGGATGCTGACACTGATCAGCAAAATGCTTCTGCATGCAAACACATGGTCACTGCCTACCTTCTCTAATTCCCAAAAGCCTTCCTGAGCCAAGCCTTTCCCTCCTCATCAGCCCCCTCCTTGGATTTACCTTTAACCACCTCCAAACTGGTGGTGATCTCCTTTGCTATCAGGCTGTTGTTGCTGTCTCTCCAGGTGACCTGGCAAGTGTAGGTTCCTCTGTCAGAGATCTCCAGGCTCAGGATGAGAAGAGACACATTTCCTGGGGCATTCTTTGGGATGCTGACTCTGTCCCTGTACTCAGCCAGGAGGATGTGGTCCCCGGAGTCATCCCTCCGGAAGATGGTGCCTGAGCCCTTGTCGTGTACCACGGTCCAGGTGAGGGTTTGCTGCACGAGCTCCTCCACAGGCACATAGGCACAAGGCAGAGTGACAGAATCCTTCCAGACCCCTTTGATCTCACTGGGGCCGCTCAGCTCCAGAAAAGCTGCAGGAAGAAAGGAAGATTAAAATTAAGCCACAGAGCAGCCAGGGTGAAGGCAGCTCCCAGGTGGCGAAGCCATGGCAAGAGCATTGGCAAAGAGAGCCCAGCAGATGAGAAACACAAGCAGGCAGTGGGGAGTGCGAGGGTTGGGCTGCTCAGGGGTGGGTTAATCAAAAATCAGTGTGGCTTGAGGATGGGAGGTGGCTGATGGCCGGGACACCAACTCCTGCCCTGGTGCAGCCTGGCTCTCCTGCCCTGCCTGGTGCTCTCCTGCCACCACCAGCACTGAGTAGAGCACAGGGTCAGAGTTATTGGATATCTTAGGCTTGAGGAAAGGAGTTGGTTTAAAGTCCAAGTTGCAGCTCCCTGGTCTCAGCCAATGTCTGCTCCAGACATCACCCCTGGGGCTTCTGAGGAACAGCAAAGACTTCCCTCCTCCACTGCCTATTTGTGTTTCTGAAACACACCATTCTCTCAGCCTAAGCCAAGCATGAGAAACTTAAACCACTGGCTCAAGGAACCTAAAACTCTTTCCTGTAAAAATTCAGACCATTGCCTTTGTCCCAGCACATTTCTCTCACTCTGAGGACTGAATGTAAGCTCTTCCCAAATCAGAGCTACCCTGCCAGGCACACCCAGGGCAGGCCCAGCCCAGACTCACCGCTGCAGTGGAGAAGGGAACTCAGGAGCACAGCTGCTCGCAGCATCATTCCCATCCTTCCTTCACAGCTGCTCCCTCTCCAGCCAGAGCAACCTGCTTGTCCCAGGCTGGGGTAAATCAGGAACACTTCCCTGCCCGGGCTCGCTCTGTCACCGAGCACCCGGGACAGCGGCCGGTGGCTCTTCCTTCCTCTTTATCAGAAAACAAGTGTGTCAGCGACCACCAGAGGCGTGGGCGCAGCGGAAACCCTAAGGAAGGGTGCAAAGAGGAAAGTGTAAAAGTTACTTCTACGTTATTTTGTTGTTTCTGCTGAGTATGTTTTTCCCCCTTCTGTTTTTTAATTTTTTTCCTTTATTTCTTTTGAGTCCTAGGCAACCATTTCTTCCTCTTTTCCTCCTTGTGTTGCTGGCTGACAAATAAGCTTTAACACAGAATTACACACAGGTCTGAGAGAGAACTCATCGGGAGCTGAACCATCTAGGTCCTCACAACTGACTTTCTCACCAGCTTCTGTGACACCCACTACTATGCTTTAAGTTAAGGTTCATGAAACCCCTTAAATCTTTACATTACCAGTGCAAGACAGATGATTATCATAGGCCTCTTCCAGATGGAATATTCTATATAAGAGAGGATGAATTCAGGTATACAAATCTAAACCCAAAAATTTCCCAAGAGCTGCAGATAGCCAGGTCACCAATCCCACTGCATCTCACAGATGGATCCTCCCTTCTCACAGAGCAATTTAGCTGCTTGGTTTAAATGGTTAATTGTTTTCAATTACAAGGCCTGATTGGGGCCATACATTCCTGCAGTGCCTTCAGACTACTTGGGAACAGGTGAACATGATGATGCCCAGAGAGAAAAAGAGGAACTTGTCACAGCAGAAAATCTTTGAGAACATGAAAGCATGGTTTCTTTACTGTAATGATATATTACTATTCATTAAATGTTATAGTTAATCTCTATAATTCAGTAATTGAGCACTAGCCCTAAGAGAAGTATCTGTTTTCTACTGAAATATCCCATTTGATGGATTTTACTGCCTTTTACTGTTTTCTACAGCTCTCAATTTTTCTTCTGCTCCAGTAAAAGAATATCTTCTGCTTCCTTGCATTCAGCTGAACCAAAATGAGCCTTTGCTGTTGTTACACCCAAATTCAACACCCTGTCCTCAAATACAAGTAATCAGACTAATTCAATGCAGCCATCCAAATCCCAGCCCCTGGTGTGCTAGTGAGACATGGTTTGGGTCTGCAGTGGCACCGTGGGATCCTCCCTTGTGGCCCTGTGCTCCTCCACCAGAATCTCCCCTGAGATGCCACTCCAGCCTGCAGCCCCTGGGACAGGGAGGAGCAGGAAAAGCTGCTGTGGGCTGCAGTGTTCACGTACTTCTTGGTTCAGGGAGGGAAAAGACCACGTTAAGGTCAAATCGTTGGAACTCCTTTGCAGGAGACAGAACTTGCTGGAGGAGGGTAGAAGCCTGCATTTTCTTGAGCTAAGTCAAAGACAGTGGTTTGGCTGGGGTAGAATCAATTGTCTTCACAGTGGCTGGCGTTATGTTTTGCATAGGCTGACAATACAGAGATGTTTTTGTTATTGCTGATCAGTGTTAGAGCCAAGGCCTTTTCTGCTTTTTGTACAGCTTCGCTGGTGAGGGGCTGGGGGTACAGGGGAGATGGGGAGGGGACACAGCCAGGACAGGTGACCCCAACTGACCCTGCCCATGACATCACACTCAGTACAAAAGCTGGGGGGAAGAGGAGGGGGGACATTTGGAGGGATGGTGTTTGTCTTCCCAAGTCACCACTACACGTGATGGGGCTCTGCTGTCCTGGAGGTGTCTGAACACCTGTCTGCCCTGGGAAGCAGTGAATAAATCCTTTGTTTTTCCTCACTTGTGTGCTAGCTTTCACTTTCACTATTAATCTGTCTTTATCTCAACCCAAATATTTTCCAGCTTTTACTTTTCCAATTCTCTCCACAGTCCTACTGGTGCAAGAGTGACTGAGTGGCTGTGTGGTGCTTGATTGCTGGCTGGGGTGAAAACACAACAGGAACGTATCACCAGCAGGATCTGGACCAACCAGGAAGTTGAAACTCAAACTGTGTGACTAAAAAAGATGTGTAGGTATTTTTTATTGTATTAACATTTACCCTGTAAACATGTAGGTGTTTTTTACTGTATTTACACTGTTGGGGGGAACAGTGGCAGGAAGAGTTTTATCATTTTTAAAATGCAGCACCAGGCTCCTGTGGCTAAGGTGACTGTGGCAGCAACCCCTTGCTTCTGCTTTGGGCATCTTTGATACCATGATGCTGCTTTTCAAACAAGAATCTTGTTTCAGGAGACAGCAAAACATTCTGAGCACGGATGGATGAGGTGGCATCACACAGCCCAGAAGAGACAGAGCAAAATCAGTTTTTCTTGTATTCTGGAAAGCTGTTAGCAAGCACACAGGAGATATGAACTGATGGCAAGGCTCCCACAGTCAGTGTGGGGAGGGCTGGGCTGGAACAGTGCAAAAGTAGATCTGAAAGGAGCATGCAAGAGGAACTTGGCACTTTCTCAGTCTGCACCCGCCACGCCTGGGAGTGTTCTGTGGATCCCCAGCACGTGAATGATAAGGGAGAGCAATCTTTCCTCCCCAGACACAGAGATAAAGGCCAGGAGCCAGGCAGCAGCCATGTGCACTGATGCTGGAGAAGGAAGGAAGCTGCTGCTACAGCGAGGCCCCTGCGGTCACGGTGACAAACGGGTGACCTCAGGCTGCAGTGGGCAGTGCCCCACCCAGGCTGGCACATGGGGCTGCTGACTCAGTGCCTGGCCACTGCCCTCGGGCACAGGCTGGGCAGCAGCTGCACTGGCAGAGGAGTCTGTCCATAGCTCCATATGCCCCGTCCTTGTCCTTATCCTGAAGAGCAGCATGTTCTGTATAAAGATCCCTTTTCTTGGCAGTGGAAATGATCAACAGTTCCTTACTTCAAGGAAAATCTCACAAAAACTGTAATGCCTGTGGTGCCAGTTACCCTGGGCAGTCTGCACAGGGGTGCCAGATCTGGGGTCTGCCTGATGCTACAGATGATCTGGGCTGTTCCATTTCTCCTGTTATCTCCAGTGATTATTTTAATCCATACCTTATGGAGCTGAGGGCCGTTCCTACTGGGGTCTGTGTAGAACACATGCAGGTGTGCCCTACATCTGGTGTATTTTTCAGCACACACGGTATTGTGAGCTTTCACATCAACCCTTTTGAAAAACCAGTCCCAGGTGCTGTTCTCCCACGCTCTGGAAACAGACACTAGGCTTTCCTCATCACCCTAGTCCTGAACCAGCAGCAGCTGCATCATGAGACCACGCCCCAGGAGCATGAAAGAAATCAGTAAACAGGTTTGGGAAACATTAGCACAGACAGGAACACACACAAAGAATGTACAAGAAACACAGTAATCTTTTTGCAATTCTTGAGTTTAATTACTTCAGCATGTGGGGTTGTTTTTGTTATTCAGTCTTCCCCTTTCCATTGCAATCTTTCTTAGGAAAGTTGCACAAATACTTTTCTCGGACCTGTACATAAACCAGACACACAAATTTACAAACGATTTTTTTCTTTTTGCAATTTTTGTAAGCCTTGGTTTCTTAGCTTCTTAAGAGAGAAAGTGTATTAAAAACCCATGATGCACTCAGACCCAATACCTGACAGTGAGCTGCGCTGAGGGGAGATGACTCTGAGACAGAGGAACGTGACACTAATCCATGACAGAAATTACAGTCCAACCAGTGCAGGGAGTCAGAGGCACAGATCAGCCTCCCAAAGAACTCTGTTGTCTGCATGGTGCTGTCAAACAGCACACCAGAAATGCCTGGATTTCACTGATTTCACTCTTGACAAAACTGTGGCCTTTGAGAAGGAATTAACAAACCAAACGTGACCTGGGACAGATGCAACATGCTCACCTTCCCCTCTCCCTTCAGCTCATGAAAACTTGAGACTACTCAGCCCTTGACCTCAACAAGTCAGCGAAAGAAAGACTCTGAAGGCTTGAGTAAGACTAACTTGACAAAAGGCAATTCAAAAGATGGAAATGAGAAGGGTCACAAGGTAAGAACAGGTACAGAACCACAGAAATAAAATGACACTGAAGGTGTTACACACTCAGGAGCAGGACCTTCCTCTGCAACTCAAGAGATTTGACAGTGAAGCACAAATCCAATGAAGACGGGCCAGCACAGGTAACATGCAGTATCTAGCAGGTCTCAGAATATCTGCCTTGGATTCTTGAATGTAAAAGAGCTCAGCACTTATAAGTTCAAGAATGTTAGAGAGAACAAAGCCTGCAGGTAGCCTGAATTCCTAAAACTGGAAAAAATTTCAAGTAACTGTGCTGGCAGGAAATATCAGGTGGTATTATCCAAGGGGGTTTCTACCTGCATCCAGGCCTCCTGCTGTCACTTCAGCACACAGCAGGTTTGTGTGGGCTGGTGAAGCTGTGACAGGCACGGTACTTGCACACAGCTTGCTGCTCCACTGACACTGGGGCTGGGCTCCACAGTGCAGCTGCTCAGAGAACTTGGGAAACAGTGCCAAAAGAAACTCTGGGGAAGGACTTTTTGGTGAAGCAGACACTAGTTTATGTAATTCATTGTCAAAAGACTCAGATGCATCTGGTTGATTTGATTTTAAGATTCCACAGACAGAGAGTGCAGCGTGAAACCTGATGTCCATACAGGGGCAGGGAACAAAAGCTGCAACCAGCACAGAGACACCTTAATGTGAGTCAGTGCAAGGCACCCCAGGGCTCCCCTTCTCATTTCAGGGACAGCTGCTGGCTTTGCTCAACATGAATCAGTCCTACTGACTACCTCCAAGGACACACAACCTGTGAACTGGGGGCAGGTCACCCCGGAGCTGCCATGCAATGTGCATGAGAAATCAGCACTACACAGGAGGGCAAGCACTTCCTACCACAACTCCTACAATCCAGGGCAATGGATGTGTGCTAGCATGTTACAAAATAATACTCCACAGTTAAATGTCATTTTCCATAGGAAAAATGTTCCCTAAACCTAGGAGCGAATCTAGGAGTATGAAAGTAATCTAAGCAGATGCAAACAACTGTAGCCAGTAACTATAAAAAAAAAAGAAATCTCAAATTAAAAACAAAATTTAAAAACAACTTAAATTCAAACAGTAGGCAAGCTACCTATTGAAGCAGGCTCTCCAAAGAGTAAAACCCAGGTTTAAAATATTACACACCACATTACTATCCAGCTAATAAAAACAAACACCACCCCCCAACAAAAAAACCCAGCCAAACTTTACAAACAGGATACAAACAGATTTCCTCTCGCAATAAGAATATTGGATAAAAAGTTATGGAATACACTGTGGTATGTTTACAGGGCTGTTGTTCTTCCCCTCTGTCTGGTGCCTTCACTCCACCAGCTCTTGTTGTTGTTGAGCTTGTGTTCAGTTGTCCCAGATGTGCTCCCTGCTTGCAGCAAGAGAACTTCCATTTGTCTGTGCAGAGCAGGGTCCCCAGGAAGCAGGTGAGGACCCAGCTCACACTTTTTGCTGCTCCACTCCTTTGGTGGTTATTCCATAGCACTAAGCTGGTTACAGATGTTCTATGAGTTCAAGAAATTTCTATCTCAGAGGCCTCATCTATGAAGTTAGCAACAGGACTGAGAAGCAGGAGTGGAAATAGT